ATTCTCTTGACAACTGTTTACACCTCCAGAGGGCTTTTTGTGGTCATATGACCAATGATTCTAAGGATTGGCTTCTCATAAAATGTGCTGTGCTAGAACAATCCTTAGGCATCTACTGAGACAAACCCAGCAGGCAGAAATGCTCTTTAGAAAATGTTCTTTTTGCAGCTCTCTGCTGGGGAATTCCAATGGTTCATTAGAAAAAGGGGTCACAAATTCCTCTGAAAGGTAATTGCTGCCCTCTCGGTTCTTTCAGAAAGATGTGTAAACCTTGTATTTTATTCAAGATGCTTTGGTGAAATTTATTTCATGGTGGAGATTGACATCAGGACACAATTCCATGCAGAGCAGAATAGAATTGAGAGCAAGCAGCTGTTTAAGGGTTTTTTTTTTTAACAACGGCGAATAAGAACTACAAGAAAGGCTGAGAACTTGTCACACCAAAAAGTCAGCCAATGCAACCATCTAAAAGATGTTTTTAAAAATAATTCCTTCATGCTCATGCAAATTCTTATAATGGTGCATAAATGGACATGAATCCAAAATCGTTGCTTTCATGTACCTTGAAATTCTCTCAGAAAACTATTGAAGAAACTAAAGCATGGCTTAAGATTTTACACACAACCCTGATTTGAACAATTGCTTTTGAGCACACATTTCTAATGAGGTAGTTTATTTAATTTCTATTAGTGCACTCCAGGAAAGAAAACCACTCTTCCTTCTTTTCTCCATTTTCTATCAGACTGCCTAAACTCCCCCACCTTATTTTTTTATGAAACAAAAGAGTTAGATGTGTTACTTTACAAATTGTAATTTACAAGCATTCTTTGATGAATTAAGACTGTTTCTTTTCATTCCATACATTCTCCAAGTTCTTCTGTAGATAACACTGTTTGTTATACCACATGCAGCCATGGAACCTCTGCAGAAAAAGGGGGTTGGAGGAGAAAGGGAAACTGTGGGCAGAGAAAGCAGCCTCCAGAGACATGATATGAATAATCCCAGGAGCTCCAAATCAAAGATTCCAGATCAGGAAATGGCAAAGCTGTGCTTTGTGTCAAGTTGCATTTCCCATTCTCTCACACATGTCTATAAACTTGGTGTTTTTATCCACTCCAGCTAGAGTGTGGGGAGACATCCATTCAAAAGATGAATCCAGATCAAGTAACATTTCACCATATGATAAAGCAGTTTTTCCTTTCTTCAACGTTTTGCTCCTGTTTAGTCTGAAGTTCTCCATGACTTGCTGGTTTTAAGCCCAGGGGACTGAGTGGGTATCTCACAAGCAACAATGAGCATGGAGTTTATTATCTGTTCTTTGTAATGCATGGACCTTATGGATGCTAACTCCACCCTGCAAGCCTTACTTAGAAATACATCTACTGCCTGTGCACACTTGATCTATCCATAAAAAGTAAATAATTGCAAGGATGGAACGAAACATAGCATCCCAGATCAGCGGGTGTCGTGGCAAGGATAAGGCACAACTGGTGTCCTTTCATTGGGTGAAAAAAGGCTAACTGGATAATCTAGAAACCAATTAGACTGAAATAGGCAAAAGAGAGATATTTTTTCTGGCTCAAGGGAGAAATCTTTGTGCACATAAAATGTGGCACCAAGGGTGGGAATATTCTCTGACGTACATGTTGACATTTATTTTCCCTTGGTGTGGTAGAGGGCTGGAGCGATAGCACAGCGGGTAGGGCGTTCGCCTTACAAGCGGCCAACATGGCCAACCCGAGTTCGATTCCTCCGCCCCTCTCGGAGAGCCCGGCAAGCTACCGAGAGTATTCGATATGCCAGACACAGTAACAACAAAGTCTCCAATGGAGACGTTACTGGGCCTGCTCGAGCAAATCGACGATCAACGGAGGGCCTTTACCTTTACCTTTACCTGGTGTGGTAGAGGACTAGAGTAAAACATCAAACCTCATGTTACATAGAGACTGGACTTTTCAGGTCTAAGAGTACAAAAGTAAGTGAATGTCACAAACTTGAAGGTTTTCTGTTGAGTCCATGGCAATTTAATGTTCTTTGTGAAAATAAAAATATGTTATACCTAATTCCACAGAACAGCCCCTGTGTGTCTATGTTCAACCCTAAGGAAAGCATTCACCACATGGTCAGGAAGCCACGCGTGGATATCCTTTCTCGGTGTAGCACCTGAGGAAGCTTTCAACTGTGAATAAATCTGAGAGTGTCCCTACAGAACACAACATGCACAATATAACAGTAATCAGAGTTGGGCTTCTTATGATAATTGTTTAAACCAGTACACCAACTGCCACAGAAGCAGAAGCCAATAGGTCTCTGGAGTGGGAATTGGGGAAAGTAGCACCGTGGCCTCATTTCCTTCTGTCTAACAGAAGCCACTGAGGCTCCAAGGCAAGGCAAGGTCACAATTGCTTCTTACGGTTTTTGGCACATTGAGTGCAAGGAAAGCATCAGGCAAGCTGAAGTTCCTCTGTAGCGTACCTCTGTGGTGTCCCTTTATAGTGTCCCACTGTGGTGTCCCACTGTGGTGTTCTGCTTTGTCTCCCAGGGCACTGCCTGGTGCTGAGAAGGGCCTGGAACAGCACAAATGCTACCTGCTTATCAGGCACATTAGACCAAGTGGGCCCTGAAAGACCATCAGCTCTTCCCTAGGTTATCCCAGCCTCTGAGAAGATGGTGAACATCTCAGGACATATCTGGGATGGAAAGAGCTGCCTCAGAGCAGGACAAGGAAGAATGGACCTCTGAACTCTGCATCATGTGCCACTGTGGAAGACCTGTCCCTCAGTGCAAGGCCCAGAATGGCAGCCCTGGAGCACAGCCTTGGCTTTCTGCAGGAAGAGCACATACTGGCCAAGTCCCATGGTGCCTGCCTCTGCTTTGAGAAACAATAGGAGAGGGAGGCCTGTCCTTCAGAAAACCTCCATCTCCTTTCCCCAAGGATGGTCACCTCTCCAACTGCCTTCAGGGTGTCACCTAGTTGCCCCTTTGCTCAATCCCTGGGCTCATAGGAAGCAGCTGCAGCTAGCCTCATGGAATCCCCTCTAAAGCCCGAGACACCTCATGAGAGTCGAGTGTCTCCTCCAGAGCAGCTTTTCATTTGTTTATTCTTTTTATTTTGGGGGCTATGCCTGGCTAACTACTGGGGGATCATATCCTTGTGGAACCATTCAATGCTTGGGACACTCCTGTATCTCTGGCCTGCTAAGCTCTCTCCTGCTGCAGGTATGACCTTGTTGTTGTTGTTGTTGTTGTTGTTATTTTGGGCCAGACCTGGGAGCTGTTCAGGGATTAATCCTAACTCTGTACTGAGGAGTCACTCCTGGTGCAGTTTAAGGAAATACCTGGGATGCCAGGGATCAAACTGAGGTTGGCCAAGGCATGACAAGAGTCCTAACTGCTGTACTATCTGTCTGCCTCAGGGATGACTTATTTAAAGCATCGGACCTTCACAAGAGAACTCATCTGCGAATATAAATGGGCAAAGCTCTGTTATGATCAAGGGTTAACTATAAGTTCCTTGAGATTTTTTTAAGCATTTTCAAATTTGTAGTTCTTTGAAAAAGTTATTTTCAAATTGGAAAACTTCCAATAAAGCCAATAAACTAATGCTCCAAGGAAGGGTTTTTGTAGACAGAAGAGTGCAGAACCAAGAACATTGTATTTAGCAGGATAGTGTCCTTGTTATTACAAATTTGCTTTCCTTAGGCAGTGATAAGGTCAGAAACATATTAGCTTGCTAGAACCTATAAATTAATTCCTAATTGGCTAGTTGAAGATTTCTTTTCTGGGAAAGCCCGAACTATAAAGTCTTTGGGTTACACGGCACTTTGCAAAAGGGACTTTATTTGGGGTCAGTTTTCTTGTTTGTAGTACTTTGAAATTACATCTTCCCTTTCCCTGCAAAAAGTTCCCTAAGCTATAGAGCTCCCAAGAGGGAAGTACTTGGCAGATTCTTTGATGAATGTCCTGCACTATCTCTCTGGGAGCCTCTTGGTGCTGGGGTCCCTACTGTCCAAGCAACACTTGTTATTTATCCTTTTTCAATAGCAGCCATCCCAGGCAGTTTAGAATGAAGCCTAGTTGTAGTTTAGATTTGCATTTCCCTGTTGCTGTATGATGCTCTACAGCATTTTGTGCCCATACTGACCACAGATCAATCTTCTTTAGAAGAACCTCAGTGTTTTCCCCCCATTTCTTAATTAAGCTGTATTGTTCCTGCTGTTGTTGGGTTGTCAAATTCTTTGTCATCTGAACTAAGAAATCATCCCGGGGGCGAGGAGCTTTAGAAGCATCAGCACCACGTGGCAGGACTGAGCTCAAACAAACTCCTTTCACTGAACACTTCATTGTAAGAGCTGCTGGAGAGCAGGCAGAAGAAGTGGGGTCGGAGGGGGTCAATGAATTAACTCCGTGTCACCCAGTGTCAGAGCAATGAGTTCCCACAGTCCCCAGAGCACCGTTGCCCTGCGGGCCAAGGGCAGGCGCTACATCTCAATGCACATAGACACCTGGAGGGGTCAGCCACTCAGTCTTCTGCCCGGGTGGTTGCCAGAGGCTCCACTGGTCTTAATCAGAGCCCATAAGCGCCCCCAATCTCCCGGGGTGCTCCCAGCTCCAGATCGCCAGAGCCAGCCCGGACAGACCCACGGCTTCACCCGGGCGGGGTGCAGTGGGTGGGTCCTGGGACCCGCCCTGCTGCAGTCCCGGCGGAGCGCAAAGCTTGCAAATCCACAGACGCAGGGCCTGGTCTCAGACCCGAGGCGCAGACCCCAAGCGCAGGCGGGGCCGGCGGAAAGATTTTCCTCCCCGCTGCTGCCCGGGTCCGACAGGTGACCGTGGCCGGGGAGGTGACCACGGCCGTACTGCGCAGCCCCGCGAGGCTCATGCCCTGGCCCCGCGCGCCCGGTCCCGAGCTCCTGCCCCGCCTGCCCGCGCGCCAGGCTCTAAAGTAAACACAGCGGAGCCGGCAGCGCGGCCACCTCCACCCGCCGGGCCGCCGCGCCATGGCCGAGGGTGTGCCCGCATCCCCCAATCGCAGCCTGCACAGCGCCATCATCCGGTGGTGAGCTGGCAAGGGACTGGGTGGTGCTGCGGGGGGTCGCGGGGACCCTCCTCACACACCCGGCCCCGCGGCCCGAGGGCCTGCTGAAAGTCGGAACACACGAACCTACACACACACACACACACACACACACACATACACATACACACACATCACCTGGGACAGACACACCTCTGAACACACTCCCTGTACAGAAACGCACGCACACATACATAGAGGCAGGCACACACACACCAGGGCAGACACACATGCCTGAACACATACACAAACACACAGGCATACACACACGGAAGATAGTCACACATGTCTGAACACATGCCCAGCACACACACACACACACACACACACACACACACACACACACCTCACCTGGGACAAACACACCTCTGAACATACTCCCTGTACAGAAACACATGCAGACATACATAGAGGCAGGTACATACACCCCAGGGCAGACACACATGCCTGAACACATACACAAACACACAGGCATACACACACGGAAGATAGACACACATGTCTGAACACATGCCCAGCGCGCGCACACACACACACACATACACACAAACATACAGGCAGGCACACACACATCAGGGCAGACACACATACCTGAACACATACACAAACACACAGGTGTATACACACACGCAAGATAGACACACATGTCTGAACACATGCCCAACACACACACACACACACACACACACACACACACACCTCACCTGGGACAAAAACACCTCTGAACACACTCCCTGTACAGAAACACACACACACATACATACAGGCAGGCACACACACACCAGGGCAGACACACATGCCTGAACACATACTCAAACACACAGGTGTACACACACATGCAAGATAGACACACATGTCTGAACACATGCCCAGCGCGCGTGCACGCACGCACACACACATACACACACACGTCACCTGGGACAGACACACCTCTGAACATACTTCCTGTACAGAAACACACGCACACATACATACAGGCAGGCACACACACACACACACACACACACACACACACCAAGGCAGACATACATGCCTGAACACACACACACAAGCACACAGGCGTACACACATGCAAGATAGACACACATGTCTGAACACATGCCCAGCACACACACACACACAAACACAGAGGACACACAACCTCCAGGACACACATTAACAGAACGGACACACACGTCTGAACACACATGCCTAAAGCAAACACCCAGGACAGACATACACAAATACACACATGCACACACGCAGGAAACACACACACAGATGTGTACCCAGGACAGGTGCACACACACTCTTTGTGGGAGTCTGCGAGGTCTTTGTAGATCCAGGGCTTCCATCTGGTTTGCTCCGGAAGTGCTTGGCTGTGACCCTCAAGGGCATGTTGGCTGCAGCAGCCTCTCTTGCATCTCAGAAGCTGGCCAGGACAGTGTTTGCTTAGTGTGAGATTCAGAAGGGGCCTTCTCTGACTTAGCAGCAACAGTGCATTTCACATTGTTTGTGAAACTCTCCTCAGCTGTTTAAATAGAAGCAAAAGAACACCAGAAAGAAAAATACACTCTGCTGTTTCTACGGATGAACACGGGGGGTTGTGGTTCTTCATAAATAGGAAAATAATTGAAACCAGTACTGAAACCTTAGTTTTGTAAGATAAATTACCAGTAGATATAGGATACACCCTAAAAAAAGGACTACTTCAACTTCTCAGTATCTGTATTGCAAACCCTAATGTTCAAAGGAGAGAGACAGAGATAGGGAAACAGCAAGAGAAACAGAGGTAAGGAAGAGAGAGTAAGAGAGAGAGAGAGAGAGAGAGAGAGAGAGAGAGAAGTGCCTGCCATAGAGGCAGGCGGGGGAGGGGGATGGTGAGAGGGAATCTGAGGACATGGGTGGTAGGAAATGTAAACTGGTGGAGGGGCGGCTTCCTAGCAAACTATCTTAAACTGACTGAAACTCAATCAAGAACACTTTTGTAACTGCATCTAACGGTGATTTCATTTTTTTTTCTTTTTGGGTCACACCCAGCGATGCACAGGGGTTACTCCTGGCTCTGCACTTAGGAGTAACTGCTGGCGGTGCTCAGGGAACCATATGGAATGCTGAGAATCAAACCCCGGGTTGACCACATGCAAGGCAAACGCCCTACCTGCTGTGCTATCTCTCCAGCTCCTTTCATTTTTTGTTAAAGGACTATTTATCAGAAAACACTTTCAGATAGTTATGTGAGTTAAGTAGCAAAAATGAAGGGCTTATTTGTGATTGAAACCAATTACACTTAGCCCTTTCCACCAATTTAGATGTATTCTTAGATGTATTTCAGTTTCCAGAAATGACCTGAAGAGTAAACTCTGAAGGACACAGTATTTTCTCTTACTCAGTGGCTCTTTTCCTACATAGTCACTAGCTAGGATCCATGGCCCACTGATTCCTAGACACAGGACTCAGGATAGCTTTGCCAATGATACCAAGTTACATGAAAAGTTTCTGAAGTTTGTATTATGCTCGAGACCCTTGACAGAATTGCCAGAGATTCAAAAACAAAAATCAAAGAACAGAAAAACCTGGATACCCTTTCGGGTGGTTTGTGACCTGACAGAACAGAGGCTGCACAGTTGAGTGCTCTAAGCCACTTCAAATCGTGTATACATGAAGTTCTCTCCATACAGTCTGTCCTTCCCAATGTGGGGGTAGGAGGTAGGGCTGGGATGGGGAGCCTTGTGACCTGCTCCTCAGATTTGCAGACAGATGGAGCAGCCAGGACCAAGTGGACCATGGTTTCCTATGTGGCTGTTCCATAGGTGTCCAGTCTGAGCCAGGACCATTGCCGAATCACTGGCACAGGTGGTTTTGATGCCAGAAGCAAAAAAACATGGCCCCCCACCACCTTAGCCTCATTAGGAGGCTGCTATCAAAACAAGAATATAGAAATAAAGCATTGCCAAGGAACTGAAGCAATTGGAATCCTTGTGTGCTGCTGACAGAAATGTAATCCAATACAGCTGCTACAAAAAACAATCCATCAAAAAGCCAAATATATCATTATCTTATGTTTCAACAGCCCTGTCTCTATACCCCCATGTACTGAAAACAGATATCTGCCCCACCACATTCGTAGTAATCTTGTTTACGAGAGCAACACAAGTGTCTATCTGCCCACAGATGAATGGACACACAAAATGTGATCTGTGCTGAAGTAAAATGTGATTTGGCCTTAAAAAAAAAAGGAATGGGATTCTGGTACATAAGGAAATCCTTAATGAAATAAACCAGTCACAAAAGGATAATACTGTATGATTCAATTTAGAAAGGTGTTCAGTGTGGTTCTGATCATAAAGACAGTAGCATATATTTGAAGATGCTGAATGACAAGTTATTGTTTAGTCAAGAAGAGTTTCCATTTTGCAAGATGAAAAGAGATCTCTGCACACCTGACTTTGTACAAAATATAAAGAAACAACATACATTACAGTGAAACATTACTCTGAACATTGCAATGAAAATAACCATCTTCATGTTGTATATATTTTAACACAAAATTTCAAAACCCAGATGCAACAGAACTCCTGAATTTGCAGTTCAGAACCTCGGTTGAAGAGAGTCAGAATATGCCCAGGGAGACTGCTTGCTTAGAAGAGTCATGGTGACATGGAGTGCACCAGGGCACAGCTCAGGAAGCCCTGATTGCTGTCACATGAAAAAGGTGCTGTACTGGGCTTTATTTCTCCATTTGATATTGCATTCATTCATTTATCAGGCACTGGATGATTTTTTAGGCTATCTCACACCGGAGCAATCTCCCAAAGAGAAGTAAAGGCATGAGAAGACTTCTATGAGGGAGCAGAAGTTTGATGAACAGGAAGGACTGAAGAAGCAGATGGGGCTGAAGAGATAGTACAGTGGGTAGGGTACTTGCCTTGCATGCACCCAACACAGGTTTGATCCTAGGCACCCCATATGATCCCCAGAGCCCACCAGAAATGATCCCTGAGTGCAGAGCCAGGAGTATGCCCTAAGAACTGCCAGGTATAGCCCCCTATAAATAAATAAATAAGTAAATAAATAAATAAATAAAACAGGAAGGACTGCAGAAGTGGAATGAGGCGGTCAGGCCTTGGGGGAAACATAAAGAACAGGGATGCCTGGGGGCAGCCAGCTGTCTGTCCAGTCTTCAATGAGCCCATGAACATTGTCCAATCCCTCTGCAACCTGAGCCTGTCTACAGACAGGCTCCCGAATATAAATAGGAATTTTTCAAATGTCTGCTGAAACTAATAAAATGCTAATTTCTTTTGAAAGAGATAGGAGTCACAATAGCTTTTGATCAGATGAATCAAAGGGGACCCAGATTTCCTGCAGGTAATAGTACCATCTCCTCTTCCCTTTGTCATTAGTTATTGTTAAGATGATTGGGAATTTCACACCTTTTCCTATGGGACTCTGCCCTGTAGCTCACTCTCTTGCTGCTGAGTTTGTACCTGGCATGTGAGGCAGTGCTGGGGACTGAACTCATAGACTCATGATGGTAAGGTCATTTTCTGCTACTGAGTCAGCCGCCATCCTTCAGAAAACTTTTCTTTGTGATCTAAAACTCCTCAGAAAATGTGGGAAGGGCAGGATTAGATGTGTTTGCTATAAAGCTGGCAATTATCAGCTTTTCTGAGTCCTGCACTGGGTCTGTTCAATAGATGTTGCTTGGACCATTCTCTTGTGCCTGATCATTGGCCCTCACCAAGGTGTACTGCTCTAAAGACAACCAAAGGGGCTGGAGCGATATAGCACAGAGAGTATGGGAGTAGGGCATTTGACTTGCACCTGGGTTTGATCCTCAGCATTCCATATGGTCCTCTGAGCACCACCAGGAGTAATTCCCAAGTGCAGAGACAGCAGTGACCTCTGTACATCACTGGGTGTGACCCAAAAAGAAAAAAAGAGACCACCAAAGTCCTCTTTCTTCTCTCTCCCTCAGGTTGGTGGACAATTTCTGCATTTGTGAAGGATATAGTGTGCCTCGCTGCCTCATGTATGATATTTATGTGGAGACCTGTGGGAAAAATGTTCAGAACCAAGTCAACCCTGCCACATTTGGAAAGGTAGGAGTGAACATAAAAATTTTTACTTGGTGAAAAAAAAACAATTTAGTGGGAAAAGAAATGTTAGGATCCCTTTGGATCTAATTGGATTCACTCTGGAAAACTAAACAATCAATATACTTTTTCATTTCCACCCAAAAAGCACTTAGTTTGCCACTGTAGGAGTAGACAAAAAGTTCTCCCTCTTCCTCTGGAGTTTTCTTGGACTGGAAAAGCAGTCAGATTAACATCAGATAGATTAGTAGGAGAAGTAAACGTATTTAATATGTGGAGAATGAAGATTCTAAAGCCATACAGGCTAAATGGGGGTGGGGTGTATATCCCAAGCAGTGGAATGGGCCGGGCTTAGGAGAGGGTGATTCATTTGACCCGAGTCAAGTGTTCTATGATTATGTGTTTTCTCCGATGGAAAGTTTACTTCTGGTTAAAAAAATTCTTTGCCCTGAGCGATGCCTCTCTAGTCTGGGTTCTAGTTAAAAGTGTGATCAGAGTTTCTTGAGAGTCAGAAGGATGTTTGTGAACCTCAATTCAAAGAGAACCACATGCCAAACTGGCATGTCTTGGGGTGGCCTGTCCTATCATGAACATTTTGGGAGGAACCCCCTTCTCTACTCTCCTTGAGCCACGCTTCTCAGCCAGCATAGAGAGGATGACAAGCACCTCAAAGAATGTGACTATAGCATGCAGAGATTCTCTGGGGACAGGTCTGCTGAGACACAACTCCGGGCATAGGAATCACCTGATACCAGGCAGAGGATGCGTCCCACACCCAGCTGTTGGCAGAGTCAGTCACTCTCGCTCTACTCTGTCAGGAGTACTTAGGCTGCACAACATAGTCCATCTGAGACTTCCATGGAGCAACCATTACATTCCAGGAACTACTGTAGACATCAGGATATGATAATGGACAAAACAGATAAAACTTTATACCTTATTGAATTCACTGTAGTTGGAGAAATAGACAGAGAAAAAGTATAAACTATATTATGTAATATGAAAGAGAAAAATAGAGAAGCGGGAATATAAGAACTCTGTTAGGGGATCAGTTGTTTTAGAGGTACAGCAAGGAAAGGTATCACTGATAAGCAACCTTTCAAACCTTTCAACCTTTGAAAATGAGAGAAGGAATATGTGGGGTGTAAGAGAAATGAGTCTTCACAGAAAGTCTGTTCAGAAAAGAAGGTGCAATGACTGGAGAGATGAGATCAGGGAGAAAGGATGGGAGGTCTAATCAGGGATGAGAAGATAGAGGTGAACCTGTTAAGAAGTGGCCAGATTCTGGGTATATTTAGAAGTCAGAACCAATAGAATTACTTATGGAAAGATTAATAGAATTAAGCAACAGAATTGTTAAATTAAATAATAAAAAATTTGCATTAGACAATGTATTGTTTTATTTTTAGAATACTAGTATTATGGTTTTTTAGGAAACAGCCAAAAATAAGTTGAAAGGATAATTTTTCAAGTAAAGGGGATAGCTCTTTGAATCCACTTATAAGAAGTTTGACTGGACGTCATGGAATCAAATCTAACCCAATGAAAATATAATGGGATGCCATTTTAGGTTAAGTTTATTTTTGAATTTAGATATAATTTAAATATTCTAGCATCTGAATTGTAAAAGCTTTCTATGGGTGAAGTCAATTTTTAAGTAATTTTACAATTTAATTCCAATTATTGAAACTTCCTTATTATCATTTGCTCATGAAAACATTAAAAATCATTGAGTTACTCTTTCTTCATGCAAAACCTCCAACACCTGGTGTGTCTTTTCCATATATAGCCATCTTATTTGTGATTGACTGCTTTTCAGGAACTCAGTAACTTATGACTGGGGTTCCCATCTCAGACAGACCGTGACTGACTAGGTTCTAAGTCACTAGCCATATCCTCTCTTCCTCTGGTGTTTCCTTCCACCACAGCCTCTCCAAGCCCTTCCACAGAGCCGACTTCCTCTATCTACTTCCTTATTCCCTATGATGGACTTGCACGGCCCATCCCTCCCATGGTGCTTTACCTGCCCATTGGCCCCAGTACATAACCTTCTGCCCCAGTGCCTAACACAGACTGAGAAAGTGAGGTTTGCAGGAAGGATGTGTAGGTGGGGGGAGAATGGTTGGCATTTCAAACGCTAGACTAGTGCTGCAACCACTAGTTCAGGAAGACATTATTAGGAGTCAAGAAAACAAACCAGATTGGCCGATGGCTCAGTATTAATGGTTGACTGGCCCATCTAGTCCCCTGGGCTGGATTCAGACCTTCTTCCCCTTGTTATATCCTCTAAAATATGGTTGGGTTCAACTAACCCTGGCAGTCTCCCAGTCCAGTGGATATACTCTTTGAGGTATAATACAATATCCCTTTGAGAGGGCCTCTGACTTGGGGGTGCTTAAGAACAAAGCACTGGCTGTGGGCAGAGAGGTCAAGCTGAGGGGGACTGGGTTTCTGTAGAGAACTCTGGGTAGGTGCTGTTCTCAGACTTGGATCCATGACTTGATACATAAGCCGCAGACTGATGGAAACCCACGAGAGCTCTCTCAGGGCCACCACACAGTCCTCTCCATGTGTGCACCATCTGTCTTGTGCTTACTGGATAGATCTGATATGGAGCTTGTTCACCGACCCACAAGCTGCCAATTCCATTTCTTCCTCCTTTCCTATTCTCTCTCCCTTCTTCCCTCTTCCTCTTTTTCTAGAGGGCAAATATAAATTGGTCATTGCACCCTCTCATCATCACCCTTCAGGAAGAATGATACCACTTGCCTCTTCAGTTCTTTTCAACAATGTGATATATGACTGTTAACCTACAACCCACATTGCAAGTTTTTCCACTTTGCATCTCCTTGTCATCCCCAATGGTGGGACTATCAGCATGTTCATTATAGTGACTTCGCCCCTTTTCTTTGTGGGGACCATTCCCAGTGGTGTTTTGGATCATGCAGCGCCAGGGATTGAAGCTGATAACCCCAGCATGTGCTCCAGCCTTTGAGTCCTCTCCCCATCCTTATCTTGCGTTAGAAAAAGGACTTTTAATGCATTTGTATGTCTCTTCCTTCTTTTCTCTCTTCCTACCTTCCTTCCTCCCCATTCTCCCCCATTCTTTCCTTCCCTCCTTCTCGTTGTTCGTTCTCTCTCCCTCCTCCCATCCTTCCAATATTTCTGTATTTATTTTATCTTTTTATTAGTTTTGTTCATTTCCCTAATCTCAGTAATATATCTATGTGCATTTCTTTTTTCCATTTTTATTTTCCCACTTGAGTAAGATCATGCAGTATTTGTCTTTCTTATCTCTCTCACTCTCTCTTTTTTGGTTTTGGGTCATACCCACAGTGCTCAGGGCTTATTCTTGGCTCTGTCCTCAGGGATTACTCCTGGAGGTGCTTGGGGAATCATATGGGAGTCTGGAGTTCAAATTCTGGTCAGTTGCATGCAAGGCAAGAACCTGTCTCTCTGTCCCCAGTATTTTTTATACCCCAGTCTTTTTTATGGGCTTTATTTTATATACTTCTAAAAGAATTTTTGAGTCACACCTATCAGTACTCAGGAGTAACTCCCAACACAGTGCTCACAGGTCTCTCTTGGGGGTGATGGGTGGTTGGGGTAACAATTTGTTTCCTCATGAGATCACACTGGTTTTCCCACACGCATGATCTGTATCCTAATCTTTAAATGAGCTGTTCCTCTAAAGACAGTTCTTAAAAGCATGTTTTTATTTTGTGCCTTAACTTTTTATTTTTATTTTTTTAAACAGTAGACAATTTGTTTTCTGTTGCTGATTATGAATAACATATGATGTCGTGTGGCTGCGGTAGTGGCTGTGCGATTTTGAAATTCCAAAATTTTAACAATTAAATCTGGAGGGATTTCTTGTCAAAACCTGCTGGGTTCTGAGATTTGTTCCTGAATCTCTGGGATCATGGCTATTAAGCAGCTTGATCAGGAGCCAGAGAGGCCATTCGTGGGTGGTGACTCAGGGTCTCGTTGGGACGGGGAGGAAAGGGACGGCTCTACCCCCATCCAGTGAGGCCCCGTTTTTCATCACTGCAGGCCCAAACCTGACTGTCCAATGGCTTTTGTAAGATGGTGGCCACAAGGCCGCCAAGAGGGAACAGGCAGAGGGACAACACCCTTTCCCCCCTGGGTTGGCCCAGCGACAGTAACCTACTGCGCCGTCCAGACACATTTCTGCCAAAAGCCGCCGGGTTTCGAGATTTGTTTCTGAGTTTCTGGGATCATGGCCATTAAACAGCTTGATCAGGAGCCAGAGAGGCCATTTGTGGGCGGCTACTCTGGATCTCATTGGGATGGGGAGGAAAGGGCCGGCTCCATCCCCATCCTGTGAGGCCCCGCGTGTCTCGTCACTGCAAGCCCAAACCTGATTGTCCAGTGGCCTCTGGAGGATGACGGCCACCAGGCTGCCACGGGGGACACGCCAAGGCACAAAACCTATACCCATCTGGGGTGGCCCAGCGCCAGTAGCCTACTGCAGGGACCAGACGCATTTCTACCAAAAGCCCTTGGGTTTTGAGATTTGTTTCTGAGTCTCTGGGATCATGGCCGTTAAGCAGGTCAATCAGGAACCAGAAAGTCCATGCCTCCAATTATATAGCTGAGTCCAAGGTGGTTTGTGGGTGTGGCTCTCACATACCTAACTTTTGGCAGTTTACTTTCTTGGTAAACTTTTCCCCAAGTTTTTGGGGTCTGGCCAAAGGCACAGCAGCAATTTTGGGGTATCTGGAAGTCTGAAGGCACCATCAGGCTGCTGATGCACTCACCTCACAGGTACAGATTGACCTGCTGGCGGCACCATACCTCCGTGCCTTAACTTTTTAAAAAGAGGCATCATTTGTTATCTATCACCTTTAATTACCAGCTGTAACATTAAGACTCACCTAAACTAATTTGACTATAATGTGTGGACCTACAGGGGAGGAAAAAGTAATTGTGCTGTCATGTTGGATCATTCCAATTTTTAAAGTTGTCACTCTAAATTGCCATCC